TTATGTGTGATATAACGTACTAACACCATATGTATGTTTTACATCTTAACAACCCGGCGTCGCTCTGGCCAAAGGCGATCTGATCCCACAACCACAACCTCCATTTGAAAATGCAGACGAGACTAAAAGTATAATACATAAAATAAACAAAGTCAAATACAACCAATTTACAAACACATAAATAAAGTATAATTTTTTTAAAAAAATATTGTTGTTTTTATTATAATTTTATAAAGATAATTCAATACTAAGCCAAACTCTCCTACGTCACCAAGTATATCAACACCTAGTGCACAAAAGTGAGAGAGCTTAGAGACTAAGAAAATACAGAGAACTGACAGAACACTTCAGAAAAGTGTATCTTCATGTAACTAATACGCATATATAATTTTGTGTATCATTTGGCGAACTGATACAGAACATTTTAAAGAGTGTATCTTCAGGATTTCTAAGTTTCTTGGATGCATTGCTTGCAAAAGAGATGATAACATTTCACAGTTACCACTTGCAGATATTTTTTTCGAAGAAAAAATGGTTAATGAAGGGTGCTGCAAATGATTTCTTGATGATGCATGATATTTGAATATTGATGATGATTTTTTGGTATATCATATGAGGATAGAGGTGCAAGAAGCAAAGAAACAGAGAGTCTACGGATAATCAATATCACCTTTTAATAGTATTAGATTAAGTAATGGTAAGAAAAGCCTTAATAATCTAAATCCTTCTAACTTAAGCGATAGTGAAAGCGCATCATCACAAACAAGCCATGGAGACATTTGAAGCTACCATAAACTTATTCTTTGAGTTTGTGTTTCACTTGTTGAATCTTGCCTCTCGGTTTTCTCTTATCATCCTTTCTTCTTCTTTGGAACGAGTCTTGACTCATCCGTTTTCAACATCTATGTAGCAGAGACAGAGAGAGAATTATGTTTTTATTTTCCACTGAAATTTAGATGGAAGTAATAAGAAAAAAAAGTTTTCCACAGCCTTTTACCTCATCAGGTAGTGGAACAGAGGTGTCTGCGCCGTGCTCCAATATAGCACGCACAAGTTTCATTGTAGCTACAGCTTTATGAACACATCTGCCCAGAGATTTCTGCATTTCATATCCCAAAACAGACTTGCAGAGATGATCTAAAGTGGGCATTGGAACCTTTCCGATACTTTCAGAGAAATCATACTTGAACAAAAGTGAGGTATCAATAACTCTTGCATGATCCATCTTCAATGCTGCCAACAGTAACGTCAGTAGGAGTTTTGATACTAAGAAGAGATGTATTATACTAAGTTACCTTTGAGATCCCTGTTCAAAAGGTGACCGACCATTATAGTTTAGGTCGGAAATAATCCGAGAAATATTTCCTGAGGAAAATCAAACACTAGATGATGACCGGCCAAAACAAAAAAAGGCAGTTTAAATACGAAACAACTTACCTGTGTATCTGCCAGAGAAGTAGCATTTGATAAATGAAGAGCACGAGAAACGAGTCCGGTAATACTAGTCCTGTAGTTAATAACTGGCTTGATTTGGTTTCACAAGCTCATCAAGAATCACCTAGTTGAGTTTGATGAATTATTATCTATATTAGAGAAAAGAAAGGAAAGATTCTCAAGATAATAAAAGGGAAAGAAACCTTGAAATTGCGGTCAATAGCAGCAACTCTAACAGCAGCTTCAGTGTTATCATCATAGAGAACCTTCTCGCAACAAAGGGCGATTATCTCGGATTTGGTAATGGCAATATCGAAAGGCTTTGTTGAGCGGAAAAATACTGAATAATTGGTGCAAAACAGCTAATAGGGACACGAAGTGGGCCCCCTTTGATCCCCGTAAGAGTAAGATTATTGGGGGTCCTTGCTCTTGGGTCCTTAATATACATATATTTATATATTATATATGCATATATAATATATACATACATATATATGTGTATTAAGGACCCAAGAGTAAAGACCCCCAATAATCTTACATGAAGAGCATCAATATTGTTAGTCCAAGCTGAGTCCTTGGGTAGAGGGGACCACAAATTGCCAAAACCAAGAAAGGACAAGGTGAGAAAGTCCTGAGATAAGAATTGTCATTGTTGTATCCTTTGCTCTGTTTGTGGACTCCACGACACATAGTGGTCCGCCACTGATTCATTTTTTTTTAAACAGAAAAAGAAGAAAAAATATTTTTAGGACTTTATTTTGACCCAGTCCTTGGGGTTATACCGGATCAAAAAGTCTAATGGGTACTCGTCATGTGTAAGAGTCTTTCGAACCAGTCTCTGCCACGTAAATATATGAAGAGAGAGAGAGTTGATGAAAAGTACTCAAAAAGGAAAAAAGAAGACAAACCTGCTCAGCTGTCTCGTTTGGGTATTCGTATGAGTAGTCGCAAACCAGAGGACGGCTGGGATTCAAAAGCAAAGCTAATTTCTGGGAACCAAAAAAAAAAATCAAGACGGTCCAAAAAATAAGTAATTTTGAATAAACAATTTTACCCTCGAATCGTCTTTCTTGTTGATTGAAGTAAGGAATTGGATCAAGGTAGGGTCTGATCGTGAATCGGGATGAAATAAATATGCGTTTCTTGGGTCGTAAAATTTTAGAAATTCAAACCATGTTCCGTGCTCCCCTTACAAACTCATACGCTGCACTGTTTTCCTACAACCACATTCATATACAATCAACCATGTTATTAAAATAGAGTAAGCCAAAACGACCATCTACGGAAGTACTACGGAAGCATGGACCATCTAATCCCCAAAAAGATAAGATCATCTACCTTTCTGTCCGTTGTGGCTAGTATGTACTCCATAACCTAAACCCCGAGCAGCTCCCAGCGGCGCAATAACCTAGAAACAATATTAAAAAAAAACTTGTGTGGCTTGGTTTTCAAGGTTTATACACAAGTCCAGATGATACATTGGGCTTTTACATAACAGAGAAATATTATAAGGAAACCTTGTTACTTAAGGAAACTCAACTGAGCTTGTTCACGCAGGTCAAGAGCATCATGTGCAGTGTCCTTCCACCGTTTACATCTCTTTTTTTTTCTAACACTGAATATTCTATAATGAAAAGTCCAAAAGGACAAACAGTTTGGGATAAACCCAACTCATACATGCTTAATGATTAAAAACAATCAAAAAGAGGACTAAGTACCAGTAGGTACTTGCGAAATTTAAAATAGGGCTGATAACAAGGGGAGAACACCAGGGCTAGCGTGACAATTACTTGTGACGCAAGCAACATCCCCTCAGGCAGGGAAATAACAGCATCAAAGGTTTCCAGCTTCCTGGTTAAACATCAGTTGGAGCCAGCAAGGACTTCCAGAGGCAACATATGACTGCGTACAAAAGTCAGAGGTGACGCTCTCTAAGATATCAGTCGCTAAACTATTCTTCCGGTCAGATACATGAATTATAGACCAATCCTCAAAGCGATTCAATAGCTCAAGAATTTTAAGAATCAAGGGAGTGAGATCAGGGAAACCTTGAGGGTCCAAGAGGGCTTGTCTTACCTCCACCGACGATGCTTCAAACAGGATTTTCCTATGTCTCAGATCTCCCATCGCTTCAACAGCACACAACAGCGACCTCAAGTTTGATTATCTTTTTGAAAGTGTTATGTTTTGATCTCGATAACACTTTCCAACGCGACCTCAAGTTTGATTATCTTTTTGAAGGTGTTATGTTTTGATCTCGATAACACTTTCCAACGATTCGATTTGTTGATTGTTGTTTAAGCAATTGAAAGAGAAAATGCGATGAGAGTTTGTTTACCCAGTTCGCTTACGCTACATCTAGGGGGAGACTCTTGCTCCCAATCCACTAAGCTTATATCACAGAATACAATACAAGCTCGTTCAAGAATCTATCAAACACTAACTTCGATTCTTGATCTTTCAGGAACATGATTGGATCTACGGCGAATAACTCTCACACACGGAGACACTGGAAAGCACCTCTGCAACTCAGCACTCGCCAGAGAATTCACCGGAGAAGATGATCAGAAGACTCTGTTACTCTCAACACTGCTCTCAAGAGGAAGACGACGAAGTATATATTCTCGTAACTGACAATACGATGTCGTACTCATTTAATCAGCTTAACGGGCTCAACAATTTTCAGAGGCCCATCAGAGTTGGATCAGGTTTTACACTAAGGCCTACAAATCTCCACCTTGTATAAATCCGACACAACTCTTGTTTTCTCCGACAGCAACTTAACCCTACCGAAGCTCTGCCGAAATGTCTTCCCTTCTCTCTCTCTAAAAGCTCTGTCTTCTCTCTAACTTTCCGGTCACCTCGACCGACGAAAGTCTCTGAAACTCCTCCACCTTGAAGATAACCCCATCTTCTCAAAGCCCCGACCGACGTTAACCGTAGATCAGCCGAATCGACGAACCCTCTGAACTCGACTCAAGCCAAACCTGTTCTCATCTCATCTGACCTCCCAGACGCCGACGAATCTCCGATCTGATCAACTCTGTAACTAAATCTCAGGTAACAGTCTCAGATCTGTGCATGCATGTCGAACCCTTTCGACTTCCTCAATAGATCTAAACCTCCTTGAGAATACTGATCAAACCGTTTTTTTCAGGAAAAAACCAGAACCAAGATCTCAAGGTAAACCTTTTTTCTAATCCGTATTCCAAAAAAACTTCCTTTACTCTGCATGTCTTTATTAACCTTCTGTCTGTTCTTTCCTTCTTTGTGAGACCAAGAAGAACTCAACCACTTCAACTGACAAACAGAACTTTACCTTCTGACTCGCAGCTCTGCCTCTGACCTGCAACTAAGGTAACGACTTCAACATTTACTCATTCTCTTCCGATTCATTCCAGTAGATTAACTCGAAACCACTTTGACTAACCCACTGTTACTCTGATTCTTGCTGCGAGGTAACAAATCGGAAACACCCTCAACAGCCACCATCCAAAGAACTTATCTGCAGACCTTGATAGACACCAGAGCCTTCTCCAATGTCTTTCCAGGTACACACTTCGTTAGGATATCGGCTAGGTTTAGGCTAGTGTGAATCTTCTGAACTGAAACACTACCATCTGCAATAACATCCCTGGTAAAATTGAACTTCCTGTGAATATGTTTAGTTCTTTCGTGAAATCCACCATTCTTTGCTAGAAATATTGCAGACTGAGAATCGCAATTAACCTTAACTGCCCCTTGCTCAAATTCTAAATCTTCGCAAACACCTTTAAGCCATAACGCTTCTTTAGCCCCTTCAGTTAACGATATATACTCTGATTCAGTAGTTGATAGTGCCACAATTGGTTGGAGCCCTGACCTCCAACTGATAGTGTTGCCGCCTACTTGAAACAGATAACCAGTAACTGCCTGCTCCTGTCTCGATCAGATGCAAAGTCTGCATCGCAATAACCCTCCACCTTGAACTCTATACCCTTAGTAAACCACAAACCATAGTCTGTAGTTCCTTTAATATACCTCAACACCCACTTCACAGCTTCCCGGTGTTCTCTTCCGGGATTTCTCATAAATCTGCTAACAACTCCAACAACATGAGCAATATCTGGACGAGTTCCTACCATTGCGTACATTAAACTTCCCACAGCGCTTGCGTATGGAACGTCGACCATGAAATTTGCCTCTATCTTAGCTTCCTTCTCATCTAGACTCTTCAATCTGAATTGAGTTCCCATAAGAGTAGTTACAGCTTTACAATCAGTCATGTTGAAGGTTGAGAGTACCTGTTCAAGGTATTTTCCCTGAGACAACTTCAAAGTACCATCTTTCCTGCTCCTGATCATATCCATTCCTAGAATTCTCGTAGCAGCTCCAAGATCCTTCATCTCGAACTCACTACTCAATCTAGCTTTAAGTTCCTTGATCACTTCCATATCCTTAGATACCACCAACATGTCATCAACGTATAACAGTAGATAAACCCTTGAAGACATTTCGGTCCCACTAATGTAGACACACTGATCATAAGGACTTCTTCTGAAACCCTGTTCCTTCATGAACCCATCAAACCGTTTATTCCACTGCCTTGAAGACTGTTTAAGACTATATAGAGACCTCTTTAGTAGACAAACCCAATCCTCTTTTCCTTTAATGACAAATCCTTCAGGCTGTTCCATGTAGATTTCTTCCTCTAGAGTTCCATTTAAGAAAGCTGTTTTAACATCTAGCTGTTCCAGATGTAGATCCTCATTAACCACTAGAGATAAGATGAACCTGATAGAAACATGTTTTACAACTGGAGCAAACACTTCATTGTAGTCTATGCCTTCAACCTGTGAGTAGCCCTTAGCAACCAATCTGCCCTTAAACCGTGGATCCTCAACTCCTGGAATTCCTGGCTTTCTTTTGTAAACCCACTTGCAACCTATAACTCTTTTCTTAGTAGGTCTCTTCACCAGTTTCCACGTCTCATTCTTCTCAAGCGAATCCATTTCTTCTTCACTGGCAGATCTCCACTGCTTACTCTCTTTAGACCTCATAGCTTCCTGATAGGATTTAGGTTCATCAACTTGAATATCACTCGCCGCAGATAGAGCATAAGCTACAACATCAAAGTCATCATATTTGGATGGCAGCTTTATCTCTCTGCGAGCTCTGTCTCTAGCCAATATGTAGTGATCCAAATCTTGTTCAACTCCAACCTCTGGTTCAGATATCTCTTCCTCTGAATCAGTCTCTGCTCCACCTGAATCTGAACTTCCTGTCTGAGTTGAAACCCCCGAAGTAGAAGCCTCTGAATCATTCAACCCTTTAGATGGACCCTTAATCAGATTAGGACTGAACGTAACCCGCTTCTTCTTCTCTCTTTCTATACTCTTCCCTTTATCAGCACTAGTCAGACCACTCTTAACTTCCCCTGAATCTGTCTCTTTCTGTTAATCTTTGTAGACTTCTTCCTCATGAAAAATAACATTTTTGCTAATAGTACACTTACCTTCTTCTGGTAACCAGACCCTGAAACCCTTTGTCCCTTGAGGATAACCAACGAAGAAACTTTTAACAGCTCTAGCACTTGTCTTTGCCCCAACCTTGTGAACATAAGCAGCTGAACCAAACCTCCTCAGATGCTTAATACCTGGTTTAGAACCTGACCACAAATCTTCTGGTAGCTTATACTCAATAGCAGAACTAGGTGACCTGTTGATTAAGTAGACTGCAGTAGAAGCCGCTTCAGCCCATAACCTTTCCTCCATACCACTCTCAGCCAACATACACCTAACCCTTTCCATGATAGTCCGATTCATCCTTTCTGAAACCCCGTTCTGTTGCGGTGTATAAGCACATGTGCGATGTCTCTTAACTCCTGTAGCTTTACAGAACTCATCAAACCTTCTGTTACAATACTCCAACCCATTATCTGTTCTCAAACATTTCAGCTTCTTCCCAGTCTGAGTTTCAACCTCTACTTTCCATTCCTTGAATATGTCAAAAGCTTCATCCTTGGTTTTTAGAAAATAGATCCAGACCTTCCTAGAATAATCATCAATGAACGTAATGAAGTATTGTTTCTCAGGCAAACTTGGAACTACCGTAGGAGCTCCCCATAGGTCTGAATGAACATAGTCCAGAATTTCCTTAGACGTATGATTTCCTTTCTTAAAGCTCTGTTTATGTGCCTTGCCTAACACGCAGTCTTCACAAAACCCTAGCTTGTCAATGTCTTTGGTTTCTAGATATCCTTCTTTAACAAGTAAGTCAAGACCTTTCTGACTTATATGTCCCAACCTAGAATGCCACTTCTTTGTCGTACTGACTTTAGGAGCTGCTGAATGACTCTCACCCTTTAGAACAGATCCTTCCAAGTAATACAGACCATCTGAATACTTTCCCGTTCGAACTTCCTTTCCATTCTTGAAGAACTTAACTTTGTATCCACCTCCTTCGTAAGTGCAACCAGCCTTCTCTAAACTTCCATACGAT